CCCCAGAGCTTATGAAAAAGCCAGGTATGAGCTGGCGGTGATGGGGAAACTGCAGTCTCATGGGAAGGGGAGCGATATTGGCACGTCCTTCACGCCCTACCGAGGTCACGAGTTACCCCCCACAAGCGGCTCTCTGGCACGGCCATAACACCAGACACACAGAAACCAATCTCGTAAATATCTGGCTCTTTGCAGAAATCCAAAATCATTGCCGCGTGACATTATATGATTCTCATAACCAGCTATAGAAAACAAAATATTTCACAATGCCTTTTCAGCAATTCTGATTGTTTGGGGGGAAATTCTAAACAATAATGGTGCATCTTTTGTCGAAATAATGAATGTAATCAATGTAGAGAAGTTAAGTAGAAATCATCTGCCTCACAGGCATTTGGAGGGGTGGGAGGGGAAGTATACTGGGGTTCTTGGTGGTGAAAAATGAGTACTGGTGAAGGGAAAGGTGTTTGATCATTGTATGATCGAGACTTAAACCTGAAAGCTTAGTAACTTTTCCCACAGTGATTCAATAAATAAATATAAAAAGAAACAAAATAAATAAAACTAAAAAAAATTAAGGTGGAGTTCATGCCCAATTCAATCAGCTAATCAGTGGCTGAATAAATAGCAGTACTCCTACAAAAAAATAAAAAAGAGCAGAAAAGCCATATTAGCATCATATAAAATAGACTTTAGGTTCAAAAAGGTTATAAGAGACAGCAACAATTGTCATTTCTCAATGATCAAGGGATATGTACATCATGAGGAACTCACACTCCTTAAAACATACACATAATGAGGGACCAGCAAAATCTTAAAACATCTGATAATCTACTTGAAGAAAGATGTTGACAGCATCACAATTGTAGTTGGAGACTCAAGATGGCTCTGTCACCTTTTATAGGTTAGATTAAAGCTAAGTAAGGAAATACTTGTTTTGAAGAAAGAAATAAAAGAGAAAGATTTAGTAGATAGGGCTTTTCACCCTCAAAAGCCAAATGCATATTCTCCAATACACATGCTATATTCTCCAAGATAGACTACATTCTGGGACACAAAACATATCTCCAGATAGTCAAGAGGATAGAAATCACGCCAACACACCAACTATCTTCTCAGACCATGATGTACTAAAACTAGAAGTTAATTGCAAACAGAAATGGAGAAATAACTCTTAACACCTGGAAATTGAACAGCTTTTTACAGAACAACCAGTCAGTCAGAGAAGAAATCAATAAGAAAATAAAAATATTCTTGGAAACAGGGGCTGGAGCAATAATACAGGAGATAAGGAACGTGCTTGTAAGTGGCTAACCCAGTTTCGATCCCTCATATTCCATTTGGTCCCTGAGGAGAGCCAGAATTGATCCTTGAGTGCAGAGGCAGGAGCTAGTTAGCCCTGAGCACCACCAGTTGTGGCACAAAAACGAAAACAAAAGATTCCTTGAAATAAAAAAGAATGAGGACAGGACCTACCAGAACATGTGGGAAACAGCAAAAGCAGTGTTAAGAGGAAAATAAAAATAAATAAAATACATGAATTAAAAATAAAATAAAACTGTGTTTAAGGATTTGAGTGATAAGATATCAGCTAGGGTGTTTGCCTTGCATGTGGCTGATCCAGTTTCTCTATCTAGAACCAAATTTGGTACCCTGAGCCCTTGCAGGAATAATCTCTAATCACTGAGCCAGGAATGAGCCCTGAATAGCGAGAGGGTATTACAACTCCCCCCACAAAAAAACCCCGAAAAAATGGAATATAGTTAACATGTGGTTATTATCTTGAATATAATAAATTTTAAGATAAAATTATATAAGTAAGGAAATACAAATTTTAAAAGTAAATGTAAGGTTATGATAGGCAAAATTAAAAATGGTCAATAATACCCAATACTATCAACAGTACAACAAAACATTCCCATGTATTGTACTTAGCACATATACTGAAGCAGACCTTTTGGAGAAGAGTATTTAGCAATATTTAAGCTTTCAAATATATATCCTTTAACCTAGCAACATTTTTCACAGGCATATATAACTCAAAAAATACTATCAGAAGCATTATCATGTAGAATGCTGAAACACAATTTTTCAGGAGTCAGAAATCACAAAACCAAAGAGTCAATCAAAAAAGGAATGATTACACAAACAAAGGATCCCATATAACAGTTATAAAAATGAAGTAGATATGTGATATTAAATTTTTGAAAGATTATTACCAACAGAAAAAAGCAAGTTCAAAAGCAGTATGGCAGTATGATAACATTCATATTTTTTTAAAAAGTTAATAAAAATATGTGTACAGAAAAGTTCCTCAATGTCATCCAATGATTTAATATGCAAAGGACCATCTCAATAATACTGAAGACAAAATACTAGCCATCACCATGAAGAAGTGAAAAAAGTAAACAAATGAAAGAGAATGTAAGATTCTCGATAACTGCAAAAGAAATATTCTTCAAATAATCAGAATACAAGGAGAGGAAAAAGGTAAAGGGGAAGAACAGCTGGTCAAAGAAATAACTGAGAACTCTCCTTTTATCTTGAGAGGCCCCTGCACAGATGCAAGAGGACCAAAGAGTAATAAACAAAATAGACTCAAATAAAAGAATGCCAAGACACAAAGTAATCAAAATAGTAAAATCAAAAGACAAAGACAGACTATTTAAAGCAGCAGGAGGGAAGAAAACCCTCAAATATAAAGAAAACAGCATAAGAATTGCAGTTCTTGCAAAAGCTAAACACAGTTAACATATGACTAATTTTACTCTTAATTATAATGCCCCAGAGAAATTAAAACATGTTAGCCAGAGAGATAGCATAGGTTTAAGGCACTTCGTTTACACACTGCCAATGCTGGTGTGATTGTATGCACTGCATATGGTCCCCTAGTACAGCCAGGAATGATGCCTGACACAGGGCCAGAAGCAAGATCAGAGCACCCCCACCATCCTGCCACAAAAAGAGAAAACATATATCCATTAAAAAATAAAGATTCATCAATATTCACAGCAGTATAACTCAGAACCTAAAGTAGAAACAACTCAAATGTCCATCAATAGATGAACAGATGAAAATTTAATATACTCATAAAATAGAATCTTGTTTGGCAATGCTAAACATAAACTTTGAAAACATCATGCTAAGTAAGAAAAGTCACAAAACAACATATATTGTACAATTAAGTTTATATGAAATTTCCAGAATAGACAAATATCAGACAGAAAAAGGATAAAGAAAAGAGATACCTGGAATAGAGTGGTGGAGTCAGAGAAAGGAGGATAAGGGAAAATATTCTAAAATGTATTGTGGTGATGGTCACACAAAAGTTATGAATATACATAAATTACAGAATTTTATACTTTAAAGGGGTAAATTTTTTTCTTTTTTGGCTTTTGGGCCACACCTGCCAGGACTTAGGGGATACTCCTGGTAATGCTCAGAAACCCTGGGTTCAATCCCTACTATCACAGTCTCTTAAGCACTAAGCCAAAAGCAAAAGCACTCCCCAAGCACTGTTAGGCGATACCAAAATTCAAAAGAGAAACAATTAAGAAATGTGCAACTGAAAAAGAGATAATGCACAAAAACCTTTAAAAATAGTATTAAGTGTACAAAAAGAGACTGTACAGCAGGTAAGGTGCTTGCCTTGTACACAGCAGACTCTGGTCAATCTCAGGTTATCTCATATGGTTCCCTGAGCACTGCCAGGAGTGATCCCTGAACACAGAGCCTGGAGTAAGCCCTGAATACCACCTGGTGTGCTGCCCCCACCAGCAAAAAAAAAAAAATAGTATAAAGAACACTAAATCTCCAAATGCAAATAAAAGGAACAATTTTATAACATTCGGAACCAAATGCTAAATGAGCAAGAAATAGGACTCTGCCCTATAGCAGCAATATAATAGTGATAAATGACAAAAGTAAAGACCCTAAATTACTATTTTTTTCTGCTCTCTACGTTCGCATAGGGAAAAAAAGTCGAAAACTAGTGAAAAGTAGGTAAAAGTCAACTACTTTAAAAAGAACTCAAATAGTGGTTGGAGTGATAGTATAATGGGCACTGATCTTTAAGAAATCATGGAGAAAGATCTTCCAGAAGACTAGGCAGATATATAATGTCAATTTGGAGGGCAAAGGGGGTTAAAATTAATTCCATGAATTATAGATCAGAAAATTTGATATAAATTGTAGATTGTTACACAGAGATGGATTTCAAGAATGCAGAAATGAAAAACGTAGGATTAGAAACCAAGTAAATGAAAGTCAGTTTCAGGCTAAACCTTATTTCTTTCTGAACTATTACTAAGTTGATAGCTATGAGAAATATCACAGATATAGTATAGCTGGATTTGAATAAGGCAACTGATGAAATCTTTTATGAAATATTTAATTAAGAATGGAGAAACAGCTGGTTAATTTTTAGAAAAATTAATAGTTGCTTGAACAACCATTCCCAAAGCATGCATATTACCAAGTTACTATCATGCTAGATAAAGGTTTCTAAGAGCATACATCATAGGGTTGTTGTAGTCTCAGTAGTTTCATCATTCATATCCAATAATTCAAATCAAGATACAGAAACATGCTAATGAATTTTATTAGTGATATCTGGGAAGGATAGTGAATACTTGAGATGACAAAATCAGGATCATGATTTTAATTATGAGTAGTAATTGGTGGTAAACAAAACAAAACTGAAACTAAAACTTGCCTTGACCAGATGAAATCAAAAGTGCCAGATCCAAATCTCACACCTAAATTTGAAAATGAGTGTAAGGAAAAAAAAACAATTTTTCACTTCTCCTGAAATCAACCTCAAACTTGAATTGTAGATACTATTAGAATGTGATCTGAAATATCCCAGTCAAAAGAAAAAGAAAAGAAAAGAAAAGTAAAGAAAAGAAAAAGAAAAAAGAAAAGAAATATCCCAGTCAGGACACCAATAATGCCAATAAGTACTAGAAGTCTTCAGCTACAATTGTGGTCTTAATTATACTCACCCTCTTTTAGACGGTCTCCTTCAGCTTTGGTTTTCTTCTGTCTTTCTGATCCAGCAAGGTCTACTAAATGAAGCTTGGAGCGAAAGTTGCTATTCCTGTAAAAATGAGAAGACATGAGTTAGAGTGGTATACAAGCTTAAGATTAGCAGAGTATCAGAGTTGACATGCTGGCTCTTATTTTCTTTCAATTCTAAATGAATTAGAATTAGAATTCTAAATCCATTAGGAAGAGTTAATACTTTCTCAAATCAGTAAGAGAAAGCAGACTAATATTTGGCTTTAATAGAACTGTTTTAAAAATATTGACACTGGGCATGAGAGAGAGCATAGAATATAACACACTTGCTTTGCACGAGACCCATTCCAGTTTGGTCCTGGGCACCACATATTATTCCCTGAACACCACCATGGATTGCTCCTGAAGACAAAGCCAGGAATAGCCCCTGAGCACTACAAAGTAAGGACCAACGCACCCCCCGCAAGAAAAAAACAATCTTAAAACTGCAACTTACATGTCATTTTTCTTTCTTTGCTCTATGGAGATCGTAAAGATGGCATGAGATCGGGATGACTGAGAGTTCATAGCTGTGGAGGCCACAGTCCTACAGTTGTTACCCTGCTCCAAACAGGAAACAGTATCCAGTGCAACAAAAACGGTCTTCTCGGTGAGTCCCACAATCTTATTCAGAGAAAAAATAATTGCTTATGATTCACAATTCAAATGCTTGATCAGAAATATAGCTTGGTGAATAAATTTCTTTTTGAAAAGATGGTATTTATACACAACGGAATATTGCTGGCTCTAAGAAATGCAGCTTAGGGGACGGAGCAATATTACAGCAGGTAGGACATTTGCCTTGCAAGCAGCTGACCTGAGTTCAATCCCTGTCATCCCATATGGTCCCCCAAGCACCACCAGGAGTAATTCCTGAGTGCAGAGACAGGAGTAACCCCTCAGCGTCACCTGGTGTGACCCAAAAAGCAAAAAAATGCAGCTTAGGATTTGCAGTTATGTGAATGAGTCTGGAAAGTATTACACTGAGTGAAGTTAGTCAGAAAGAGACAGATAAAGAATAATCTTTGTATTCCTTTTCTTTTCAACCCATTTCTGTTCCCTGAAAACTGAAACACTGTCCTCCCGTTGTTCATCGATTTGCTTGAGCGGGCCCAGTAACGTCTCCATTTTGAGACTTGTTACTGTGTCTGGCATATTGAATATGTCACGGGTAGCTTGCCAGGCTTTGCCCTGTGGGCAAGATTCTCTCGGTAGCTTGCCGGGCTCTATGAGAGGGGCGGAGGAGTAGAATTCGGGTCGGCCATGTTGGCTGCTTGCAAAGCAAACGCCCTACCCACTGTGCTATCGCTCCAGCCCATTTCTGTTCAATCTTCCTAAAATCCTACCTCCTAAAATGTCACCAAACTAGTAAGCCCTGTACTAGATAATGATACAAAGAAATTTTAAGACTGACTAACCTCCAGGAGCTGACAGAGTTGAGACATATACACATAAGGTAAAAACTTGAAAAAAAATTATTTGAGGACAGTGGGTGTTCCAGGATAGGGCATGGAAGCTTTGTGCTCTTGTTCTCTCTGCATATCTTGACCTATGCAAAATTTTGACCTGAGTGTTTATCTGTATTCTTTAGCATACCCTTTAATGGTAAACAAGTAATCCACTTGATGCACAGTGCTCTTCTAGACTAGATCCTCAATAAAAGGATAACAAAATGATGAAGGAATATGAATATGATGAGGATGGCTGAAGCCAATGAAAATCAAGACCCAATAATTTACAATGCTATTAATAGTAATGTTTGGGAACTCTGTATTACTATACTGCACCCATCCCTAGAGTATCAGCAGTACTCCACCACTGCAGAAATAGCTTTTTCACACACTGGCAGGAAATTTGTGCTGACCGGCATTAGTCCACGCAATGGAAGTTGTAGACCACTGCCTTAGATCAATAATTGGGTCTGATCATGATTAAGAAGGAAGCATAATTGCAAGGAGAGGGGCTTTGATGGACACTGACCATTTTTATCAGGAACCAAGGTGTAGGAAGCCCTCTCCACTAAAGCTCACTGAGATAACCCTCACTAGCTCAGAAACAAGTCTTGTGTGAATGATCAGTGATTACATCTAGGGTAGTGGCATATCTTCTTCTTTTTTAGTGTCTCTAGTGTCATGACTGGTATTCAATTTTTTTTAATTTTTATTAGTGAGACACCATGAGGTACAGTTGTAGACTTACAAAATTTCGTGCTTGGGTTTCAATTATACAATGATCAAATACCCATCCCCCCACCAGTGCCCATTTCCCACCACCACGGATCCCAGTATCCCTACCACTCCCCATCCCCCCATCCCACCCTGCCTCTGCGGCAGGGCATTCCCTTTTGTTCTCTCTCTCTTATTGGGTGTTGTGGTTTAGTGCCATATCTTCTAATCCACTTTGTCTTAATTATCCACTTACTTATCCATGACAGGACATGAATTCTCACAAGGGAAGTTGTTACTCTGATCTTAAGAAAGTAGTGCCTTTAGGTGCAGCAGGGAACAAAAATTAAACTACAAAGGATGTGCTTGTTAAACATCAAGCAAAAAGTTGCCTTTTTCCCCTTTAACTCTGGCTTCACTATTAGGAAGAACATTAATGAATTAAAAAGATATTATTCATTGCAGAAAATATGAAAAAAAATACCCATAGCAATCCTTCACTCAAAAGTATTAAACAGGATATATTCTGGCTGTATAATCTTGTTCTGTTGCTTCCCAACCCACATCCTATTATCCAGATAAAATGGTTTAGTTTTATTACTCAGAGAAGTATATTTTTTTTGCTTTACTGCTTGAGCAATTCCTTAATAGAAGAATAACCTGGGTCTAGAGAGATAGTACAGCAGGCAAGGCAATTGCCTTGCATGCAGCAAACCCAGGTTCAAACCCCATGATCCCATATGGCTCCCAGAGCACTGCCAAGAGTGATCCCTGAGAGCAGAACAAGGAGTAAGTCTTGAGCACTGCTGGGTATAGCCCCCCAAAACAACAAAACCACAGAAGAGCCTTCATTATTTTTATACTTATATTCCATCTACCCTACCTGACCAAAATTATCCTACTCACCAGAATTTAAGCCAGGAACTCAAACTTCTTCAGATTGAAATTTTCACCTCAAATAATGCTTGAAATTTGATTCCTGACTTGGCATGGAGTATACAAAAAATCTTAGAATTAGGCTACAAACTGGCTCAAAGAGCCAGAGAGATAATTTAAAGTGTAATTTACAAGTTGAAGGCCTTGGATGGATCCCTAGCAATGCATGGTCTCTGGCACCATCAGGAGTGACTCCTGAGCTATGACCTGATAATAGCCCCCAAGCAGCTAGTGTGACTGCCCCCCAATATTCTTTTGTTTTGGAGCCACACTTGGCGGTGCTCAGGATTTATTCCTAGCTCTGTGCTCAGGTACACAATTTGTTTTTGGACCATACCTGGCGGACTCAGGGTGGGTACCATATGGATGCTGAGTATTGGCCCCAGGTTGGCCAACTTCAAGGTAAATGCCCTACCTGCTTTACTATCACTTCGGCCCCAACCCCAATTTTTTTTAAAAAAGAACTAATTCCAAGGGCATTTCTAGTGACATCATGAATTTTACCCAGGTTCCTGATCCCCACTATACAAATTCTCTTTCCATATTTCAAGGCTATTTCATTTTTAAAACAGGTCTGATCCTTCTATCCTTGTTTTTGTGCCTGGTTAGGGAATTAAAACTCAGAAAGAATAATAATATTCAGGTGCACATGTATCAATATGCCCCTCAAGCACCTCACACTAAACATTTAACTTTCTTTTTTGTTCTGCACAGGGAAAAGATATAAATGGTCAAGATGTTATTTTACTAAGTTTCCCCAAAGCCTGTACTACCCACTCTCATTCACTTTGAATCTTGGATTCTACCTTTCCTGAAGACTCAGACTGATGCTAGATTCATGTTCTGTCTATTTTTGATACTGTCTTCTGGATTTGGCTCAATCACATATTAATGAAACTCCAACCCTTGCCTCAGATTCAGTTCCAGTTCCAGATCCTCATCTTGTATGTACCATATGACAGCAGTCTCTCAAATAAGTAACCTATTCTTAAGGTCTGGATATATGAATTTTTTTTCTATACTGGTTAATAATTGGGGGTGGGGGGTAGGGTTTGGGCCTGTGTCCAGGACTCGCTCCTGGTGGGGCCAGGGAAACATGTGGTGCCCTGTGCATTTTCAGGACTAATCCCTGAGCATAGCCAGGAATAAGCCCCGCAGCACCATTGGGTATGGCCCCAAAACCTAAAAAAAGAGCTCTCATCTAGGAATTCTGCAATAACAAGGAAAATTAGGAGCTTACAAAATGTAAGATGTTCAGAGTTATTTAAAACCATACCAGCAAATAAGGATGTGAAGTCTACTAAAGCGCAACATTATCTTTAATAACATCAAATGAAAGACAAACATACCTTTATGCCTTCCTTAGGATCCTCCCGTATATTTATCTGAGAGGCTTTCTCACGAGATGAACATAGAAGATCCAAGATTTCTTCATTGTAAATCTGGTATTGTCAAAAATAAAGTGGTAAAAGCAAGATATTAACATTGGTAATTTCCAAGTAACGGATCATAGGAGGGTTTTAAATTTTTGACTTTCTGCATTTAAAAAAAACTGTTTACACTAAACACATATTATTCTTATATTAAGAAGACTTTCACCCTGCACATAATCATTTGATACTTCAAAAATAAAATCAAGCATTACTTATAACAAAAATTGTGATTGCTCTCTTAAGATAAGAGCATCTTAGGAATAGCAACACAGTTAAAAATTCCTCAATTCATTTATTCTGATGGTGGCACAACAGCAATACTCTTCATTAATTTTGTTAACATGTTAAGAGGCTTTTAGTAGAAGGTGGAAGTAAGAAGCAAAAGGGAAAACCAACAACCAGTACTTTAAGTACTTGGAAGAGTATTTAGTAAGCCTATTTATTATTGCTATTGCTATTATTTAATATAACATGGTCTCAAGCTATCTTTATATTAGATTGCCTTAGTCTAAACTGCAAGATAATGGTGAAGGCTAATATTTTTTTCTAAAGAGAACATATACAAAATCCCCTACTGCCAGACATTATGCATCAAGAATCTTACATTTGAGGAAGTTTCAGAAGTCAGCACATCCAGAATACAATGGATAAGTTTCACCCTAAATGATCCGGGCATACCTCCCCTAAAACTAATCTTCATGTTTAATTTCCCTCCTTCAATTCTACACCTCCTAGACTTAGGAACATAGGAAGTCTCAACTTCAGTGTGAAATTTTCAAAGCTGATCATTAAATGCTTAAATTGTTTTCCCTTAAAGATAAGACACGGTTATCACTGCCATGGAACCAACCTGCTAATTTCCCAGAAACCACAGTTTGCCAACTGTATTTTTGGTATCATGAGATTAAATATATCTAGTTAATCTAAATGCATACTGGTATACTCCAGCAGAATAAAACTCCAGCATGGGAGGAGTTTTAAAAATATTTGGTTTTCATCATGGTTCTGTGTGGACAGACTCTCTGGACAATGGGTCAGAATAGAATATCCAGGACAACCCAGCCATATATATGTTCAGGTAATTTTTGACAAAGGAGCTGATAGCATAAAATGCAATAAAGACAGTTTCCTCAACAAATGGTATTGAAAGAATTGGATAACCAATTCTTTAAGAAATTAAAGTCATTATCTCACAATGGCCAACCTTTTCCAAAAGCAAACTCAAAGTGGAAAGACCATGAATTAAGACCAGAATTAAAATACTGTCACTGTCCTCCTGTGGTTCATCGATTTGCTCGAGGGGGCCCAGTAACATCTCCATTGTGAGACTTGTTGTTACTTGTGTTTGGCATATTGAATACATCACGGGGGGTAGCTTCCCAGGCTTTGCTGTAAGGGCGAGATACTCTCGGTAGCTTGCCAGGCTCTCCGAGAGGGGCGGAGGAATTGAACCCGGCTCAGCCAGGCCAGCTGCATGTAAGGCAAATACCCTACCACTATGCTATCACTCCAGCCCTATATAAAAATACACCAAGGAAAATATAGGCAGAATGCTATAAGACCTAGACCTCAAAGGAGTCTTCAATGATATGATGCCATTGACAAAGGGTATAGAATCAAAACTAAACAAATGGGACTATATAGAGCTAAAAGGTTTCTGCATAGCAAAAGAATCACAGGCCAAAACTCAATGACAGCTAACTGAATGGTAGAAAATATCTGTTCTCAACACATCAGATAAAAGGTTTATATAAAGTACTCACAAAGATCAACCAAAAAATCTAAAAATGGGGCTGGAGCAATACTACAAAGGGTAGGGCATTTGCTTTGTAAGCAGCTGACCCAGGTTTGATCCCCAGAATCCCATATGGTCCCCCAAGCATAGCCAGGAGTAATTCCTGAGTGCAGAGCCAGGAATAACCTCTGAGCATGTCCAGGTGTGACCAGAAATCAAATATCACAAGCCAGAATCCCCAAAAGGAGAGAGAAAGAGAGAGACAGAGAGAGAGAAAGAGGTGCCTGCCATAGAGGAAGGCTAGGAGTGGGGTGGGGGTGATGGTGGTGATGAGAGGGAAACTGGGAACAATGTTGGGAAATGTACATTGGTGGAGGGATGGGTGTTGGAACACTGTATGACTGAAACCTAATAATGAACAACTTTGAAAGAGTTTATCTCACAGTGATTCAATAAAAACATCTTGGAAAAAAATCTAAAAACCTCATCCAAAAATGTGGAGGAAATGAACAGATACTTCTCTGAAGAAGACCAACAGACTGTCAACAGGCACATAAAATGCTCATCATTATTTATTATTATGGAAATCCAAATGACAACAACAATGAGATAGCATCTTACACCAGTGATAATGGCACATATCAAAAATACTGGAAGCAATCTATGTTGGCAGGGATGTTCTGAAAAAAGGAACTCTCATCCACTGCTGGTGGGAATATTGTCTGGTTCAAGCCTTACAGAAAACAGTATGAAGTATACTCAATGAATTTAGAATTGAGATGCCATATGACCCAACCATTCCACTTTGGGTTATCTATCCCCAGGACAGAAAAACATTCGTTCCAAAAGATGTATACACAACCTTATTCATTGCAACAGATAAGTGGATCAAGAAAATGTGGTATATGTACATAATGGGATACTAGGTAGATGTAAGTAATAATGAAATCATTTAGTTCACTGCATCATGGATGGAACTGGAAGACACATTAAATGAAGTAAGCCAGAAAAAAGAATAAACACAGGATGATACCACTAATACATGATATTTAGAATAACTGGATGAGGAAATGCAATGGTTTAAAGAGAGAATGCCTACATTACCCTTATCCCTAGGGAATATGGAAGAGAAGGAAATAAATCAACTTGGGGGTGGGGTGGAGAGACAGTTGTGAAGCAACAGGGGGAAGGGGGAAGAGATTCAGGTACATCAGTGGTGTTAAGGAATGACAGAGATATATCCAAACCACAGAGTCAACAATAATGAAATCATGACACCCAAACTTTAACAACCAAACTTAAAATGGTGTCTGTCAGAGACACACAAATGAATCTCGGACCCAAGCAACTTGCTGCAGAGATGGCTCTGCAATAGGCCTTTTTAGCAGGGCCACTCCATATGGGGGCAGGTACCATCTAGGAACCCCGGTGGCCACCGTCTTCTAGAACTCAGCGAAAAGCTCTGGGTATGGTGGTGGTGGCAGGAAACGCCAGGACTTACGGGACATGGGAGGAGTCGATCCTTCTCCTTGCCCCTGCCCCGATGGTACTCTGAGAATACGCCCACACCCAGCCACCATCTACTTGAGCTCACACACGGCCATGATCCAGGGACACACAAACGAAACTCGGACCTGAGAAGCTTGCTGCAGCGATCTCTCCAGACCCTAATTATTAAAATTTTAGAATTCCTAGAGTGCATTGTCTAGCATTACACTTTCAGCAGGTATGAATGGTGGTGGAACTGGACACAAAAATCGAAGGTAACCAAAGTAGAGAGAGAGAGAGAGAGAGAGTATTGTCCAAATTGTCTGCCACACAGGCAGAGGTAGGTATGGAATTGGGGTAGGAGGTTGTTACTGGGGACTTTGGTGGTGGAAAATGTGCACTGGTGAAGGGATGGGTGTTTGATGATTGTATGATAGAGGCTCAAACATGAAAGCTTTCTTATTGTACCTCACAGTAAATCAATTACAAAAAAAATGCCTGTGAAAATGGCAGGCTAGGGGTCGGGGAAGGGGAGGGAACCTGAAAACATTGGTGAAGGGAAGTTGACACTGGTAGTGGGACTGGTACTGGAACATTTTATGTAAAAATTCAACTATGAATAACTTTGTAAATCATGATGCTTTAATAAATTTTAAAAAATAAAAATTTTATTCACCACTATAGTTCAAGAACCTATTAGCCTCAAAACATAAGCCTCAAAACAATTAGGGGAAATAAAAAAATTGCAAACTGAAGAATATCTGTAATAGAGACCAAACTGGACTTAAAGAACTCCTATCATCATTTTCGTACATTCTTGTTAACTCCACTAACAATCAGATTTAATAGATTACCTGATGGCAAAGAAAGGACAGAGTGGATGCTCAGTATAACAGAGCCAGTAAATTTTCACTATCAATTTGTTATAATGCAGTTTTCTACGAATGCAACTTACTAATGTGAGCTCAGCTAAGAAAAACCTGACTTAGATTTCTACCCAAAGATAAACTTGAATTCAGAATAATTAAGATTAAGGCTGGAGCAATAGCACAGCGGGGAGGGTGTTTGTCTTGCACACAGCTGACCTGGGTTCAATTCCCAGCATCCCATATGGTCCCCTGAGCACTGTCAGGAGTAATTCCTGAGTGCAGAGCCAAAAGTAAGCCCTATACATCGCCGGGTGTGACCCAAAAAGCTATAAATGAATAAAAACAATAATAATTAAAGATTTAAAATTTACCTCTAAGTATGATACTTTCAGGGAAAATTCAAAGTCATTCCTTTTATCAATTTCTTTGAAGAGTAGTTGTATTACCCGAGGAATAACACCAACTGTTGGTTCATTCTCTTGTTCTGCAGTGTATGTACCTCCCATTGAATAAGTTTTTCCAGAGCCGGTTTGTCCATAAGCAAGGACAGTAGCATTGTATCCTGGCAAAACAGAAGTTACAAGCATAGTAGTGCTTAAACATATTCATGGAATCAATATACTCCATTTCCTTCAGCAATTATTTGTAACAAAATTCAGTCTCAGGGAATAGCACAAACAGGTAAGTTTTATGGGTGCCATGACTTTATACCACTTCAATAAGCAAAGAAGAAAAAAACTAACCCCAGAACATATGTCCTCCTAATAGCCCTTCAAAGCTTTAGGGCTTTGTAATTTTACTTTATCCCCTATTTGAGTAATCCTAAATCACGTGAATTAAATGAAAGTCTTAAACCTGCATAAATAACAGGGATCCCAGTATAAATTTAATCAATAGATTAATTTCACAAGGCAACAAAATTGCTTTGGGCAGTGAATCCTTTCACTGCCCATCTGAATTATCAGATATCTTAACTACATTATCAGGCTCCTCATAGAAATATTCACTGTCACTGTCCTCCTGTTGTTCATCAATTTGCTTGAGGAGGCCCAGTAAGATCTCCCTACCCGCTGTGCTATCGCTCCAGCCCATAGAAATATTATCAACTATAATTCAATTGATAAATGACCTTTGCTTTCAGATATTATAAAGAATCTACAAAAAAACATTTGTATATAGTTAACAGAAACAAAACTGTTAAAAATAATTGTTAGGCATAAGTAATATAGGAAAAGACCAAAATATTATCAATCATTTCTATATTTAATAAGAAAATCTTATTTTCATGAGTTTTTCATGTGTTTTGGGCCAACTGGATCTTGGGAAATCATACAATAGCAGGGATCAAACACAGTATTCCTGCAAATACTTCAGACCTCTAAGCTATGTCCACAGCCCATTAATAATAGCTACCACGAAGTATAAACATGGACATAAAGAAGGAGGTATAAATGCAAACTTACTTCAAGGTGGAAAAAATATGACCTCGAGAAATCTGTTCCTTGTTGGACTGATGGTAAACACATACTAAAGGAATACTATGGGGCCCAGTACTTAAGACCATCTACTTTGCATATTTGAGGCCATGAGTTGAATCCCTGCCATGGACCGAAATCAGTGTGTGAAACCCCAGCACTACTGTGTGGTCAATGTGACTACTGCCAGTGAAATGTCTGGTATCATAACAAGTGTAGCCAGAACACCCCACCCCCACTCCAACAAGGTATGTGAGAGCACCATAACCACGTGTACGATCACTGTAGTCAAGTGTGTGTAACCTCTGGTGTACCATGACTGAGGGTGTAATCCCTAGACACCAAGGAACAATAACAAAGGGAAAACAGGGGGCTGGAGAGCAGAGTCAGGAGTAACTCCTATGCATTGCCAGGTTTAACCCAAAAAGCAAAAAAAAAAAAAAAAAAAAAAAAAAAAAAAAAAAAAAAAAGGAAAACATAAAGGCATACAAGACAAGCTTTCTCTTGTAACAAAATCCACACTATTACCTCGAGTTTATCAAGATAAGTTTGGACTTTGAAGGAAAAACATCATTACATTTTTTGAAACGGGCTGGAGCGATAGTACAGCGGGTAGGGAGTTCGCTTTGCATGCAGCCAACATGGCCAACCCGAGTTCAATTCCTCTACCCCTCTCGGAGAGACTGACAAGCTAGCGAGAGTATCTCGCCTGCCTGGCAAAGCCTGGCAAGCTACCCGTGACGTATTCAATATGCCAAACACAGTAACAAGTCTCACAATGTTACTGGGCCCACTTGAGCAAATCAATGAACAACGGGAGGACAGTGACAGTGACATTTTTGAAACAATTTTTTAATATATGAAAACCTTTAAGTCCTGAAAGAACATCTTTATTTAAATTAAGACCCTGGTGTTCTGAAAAATAAGATATTATACAGAAGTTTTCACTGTAACAGACTGCTAGTATTATCACTTGGTATAAATATGGAGCAAGACTATAATATTCCATCACCTTCATCAAAATCACAGATGTATTTACCTAACAAAAAGAGTATAAAACAAGTTCCTGTATTTTCTATGAAATACTCAAGGCTCTGTAGTATTAGGAATTCAGATTACAAGAGGTAGTATTTGAGCTGACTGAAAAATACTAGCTTTGTCTTTGCAATCAAGGGCAGCGCTGACCAAAAGCATATACATTAGAATCCTTACTACTTTATTTTTCCTCTAAACAGTATAATTTAACTCGCATAGTTTTTCAATTTAAGAATATGAAAGTAGAACTACAGTGCTGCTAATATGCTGTGAAAGTATATTCTGGGAAAGATTACTAGATGACTCTGGTTCTGGAAACCATATTGTTTTGGAAAAACCTTAAAGGAATTGAGCAATGGTTATTAAAAAAGATATGAACATCAGCAGTAATGGAACAAATCAGAATTATTTGTAGCATGACAGGATTCAATGAGAACAGAGCACTGCTTCTGTGACATTTCTGTTGAAGATATTACAACCTAAATTTAGTGATAAATATTAGCAAACCAAAATTGAGAAACACTCTAGAAAATAACTGGCCTGTGATCTTAAAAAGTGTGCTGCTCATTAAAAATTAAAAAGAAAAAGGCCTGGGGAAGAAGTGATAGTGCAGCAGGAAGGGTTCTTGCCTTATACACAGCCAAGTCCATTCCAAAGCCAGAACCTAACATGGTCCCTTGAGCCCTGCTAAGAGTAATTCCTAACTGGAAGTACCAAGTGTGCTTCCTTCACCACCAAAAAAAAAAAAACCCCAAAACCAAGAGGCCTGCATGTTAGAATGAATATGACTACAAATGGCAGTACAATGAAACACAACCTGTGACTATGAACTTGATCCTTTTCCTCTAGAGGACATTAAAACAACTGGTAAAACTTGAATGGGTTATAGGAAGTAGTAATATAGTAATACTAATTCTATGATTTTGGTGGTTATATTGTGTTTATTGTGTGTAGTGTGTAGGACAAAGTCCTTGTTTGTAGGAAATATACACTAAATTATAGTGGGAAATCAGGTCAACAACTCAAATGGTTCAAGAAAAAATTTCTTTGTGCTTTTCTTGTATCATTTCTCTAAGTTTCTTAAAATTTTGACAAGGGGATGGAGCAATATTTCAGTGGGTAGGGTATTTGCCTTGCACATAGCCAACTTGGATTTCATCCCTTGCATCCCATATAGTCTCCTAAGCAATGCCAGGAGTAATTCCGGAGTGTAGAGCTAGGAGTAAGCCCTGAACACTGCAGGGTGTTGTTCCCCCAAAAGAAAAAATTGTAACAAAATGTTTAACAAAGAAATAGAGAAGAAATACAGCGGTGAGGTGCTTATGGATACTGCATAGAGTTCCTCAGCATTATCAGGAGAGAGCGCTGAGCACAGAGCCAGGAGTAGCTCGAGAGTACCTTTGGATGTGATCCAAACTCAACACCTGCCCCTGAAAAAAAGGCTCATTTCCCCTGAGATGTGAATAATTTTAATAGACTGTACTAGTATACTGTATAATTCTGTACTGTCACTGTCTCCCATTGTTCATCTATTTGCTTGAGCGGGCCCAGTAATGTCTCCATTTTGAGACTTGTTGTTACTGTGTTTGGCATATCAAATACGTCACGGGTAGCTTGCCAGGCTTTGCCATGTGGGCGAGATACTCTTGGCAGCTTGCCGGTCTCTCCGAGAGGGGCAAAGAAATCGATGTAAATAATAATTAGATTATTATTGAACTAAATAATAATTAGATGCCTCTCAGGTGCTACTTTCTTCAGAATCACCTGGTCTTCAAAAAATTAAAAGCACTATGTTGTATAATAAAGATTATGAAATGAGCACAGTATTTAGGGCCTTGAAAGTTAACCAAGAATTAGTCTGCACACCATTCAAGAGTTGTCTTAAAGCTTCCCTATGCTGTGAAATTCACTCTAGCTCTCTGTCAGCCCTTTTCATACAGGTTGATTTTCATACAATTTACATGAAAGTAGTGTGTGAATCAACAGGACTGCTTCTGTTTCATATTTTTAACTTTAAAACATTTTTCTTTGACATCCACATCTGAAATGTTTTGTATTTAAAATTGTTGTGCAGTCATCTACTTCCACTCTTGCTCCTGGATTCTGAACTCTTCCAGATCCCTGAAGCTATATGATGTATCTCTTAACTTTTCAGCAAGCTTTTCAGTCCCGGTATCTCAAGTAAGATGATCAGCAGCGGCCCCATCAAAGAGTTTAGAGTCTAACAACAAAAACGTACTCAGGTCCAATATAAGCAGGTCCACAGAAAACACATGCAGTATAAACCAATCTTCAGCAAATAATACTGGGTTAAATCTTAGGCTGTAACCGTTTAGATCCTAGGCTGCTTCACGCATTCCTGTAGTTGAAGCACTGAAGCACAGCACCCCTCCTTCCCCAGAGTATACGCTCTGGAATAGATTTAAGAATTAAAACATTTACCTCTAAATATGCCTTTTATGAGTGGCGCTACTGCTGTATTGAAGACTTCTTCCTGTTCAGCAGAGGGGTCAAACACAAAATCGTAGGTAAAGGATTTGTCAGCACCAACAATGACCTGAAAAGACAAGGAACAAGAAATAAGACCAAAAAAGAACAGACCACGCCCCTCGAGACTTTAAGGTCCCAGCAGTGCAGGGCAGGCCCAGGTCTCTGTACGCACCTGAGGTTCCCCGGGTACGAAGGAAAGGCACATCTGGCAGCCTTCGCTAATCTCTTTGGGGACAAGAGGACGACATCGCAGTGCTACTCTTACAGGAATTCCCTTCACGTCTTCCTTCATGATCGTGCTTCGGCACTCCCAGGCTGGGGGGGGGGGGGGGTTGTGGCCGCGGGGAGCGGGTTGGCGAGAGGGGAAGGGAAGAGACTTGCTGTTTAAAGACGGTAGATAGCAGAGGTGGGAAGGCGTTCCCTCTCGGCTCCGGCCCTTCTGAACGGTGGCGGGTTTTGGAATTCAGCGGTAGCAGCTTCTCCCAGCGAATCGCACGCGCAGGAGTCACTCCCCTTCACTTGGCCACAGCAGAGCGCCCGTCAGCCCCACACTGAAGAGAGCGAAGTGGCCACTGAACCGGAAAGGAAACTCCTCAGAAGTCGACGATAAAGAACCAAAGGCCCAGAGTCCCGGGGAAAGGTGGATCCCAAGCTAAGGTATTACTCCTTAACTCACCGAGCTAAGAAGCCCTTTTCTGTTCTTCCGTCTCCCCAGTCCCAGCCAGAGCTTTAACCGCCAAGTTTCAAATCAGCCCTAGAGGCGCCGGCCAATAGGCGCGCAGGAACCCCGCAGACGGAACTGCTCGCGTCTGCGCGCACAGGAAGGAGCGCTGGGAAAGGGCGGGCCAGTTCATCGCGCCCTGACCCCGCCCCTGGCCGACTTATCGGAACATCCGGTTCCGGTTCCAGCCAGAATTGGAGGCGAGCGGCCCGGGAGGTCGAGGAGGCCTGCTGGCGGGTGAGATTAGACGTTTACCGCTTCTTGTGCACTGGACCCGGGCAGAGTTCTAGGCGGAGACTGATAGTGAAGGGTGGCGCTGGGGTGTTCCACCATTACTCTTCACCCCGAGACCATGGGCGGTGCCTTGCCCGGCGTTCCAGTTTCATACCTGTGAAGAGTTTTATCAGTGTGAGAAGTTGGAACCAGCACTCCCTTGGACTTCGAAAGTAGATAGTTTTAGAAGCGGTCCTGATTTCCTTTTCTCTAGAAGGAAGACAGTATTTTCTGTTTTGCAGAATTGTCTTGAGAGAACAGATAATCTATAGAATACCTAAAATGTTGTTTGGTATCCAGGTGTTAAGCAAAGTTTCTCTAACTTCTTTCTCATCCGCAAATCTGGAAGCGGACTGGACCCCCAGACAGACAGCCTTGGGATGGATTGGAGCTCTTTGTAAAACTTCTGGGCTGTTTTTGCTTTTGAACTACTGTTTTCTTTATTGATCAGTCTTTCCATTTCAGGACCGTGTCAGAGATGGACGGCCGGATTCCTTATGATGATTACCCAGTGGTTTTCCTGCCTGCTTATGAGAACCCCCCAGCATGGATTCCTCCTCATGAGGTAGGAAGCCTGTACCCAGAAATAGAGTTTTTTTCCCCCCTGTGGCCGTGAGTTGATATACAGAAGGTAGAATTGCAGGTTTAGAAAGCTTATTGGACTGTGAATCTCGGCGCTTGTTAGCAGGGGAGCCAGAAGTTATGTTCTGAGCAACAGGGGGCCATTAGAAGCTTTTTAAGGAATTCTCTGGCCAGAGTCTATTTACCCCAAAGAATTCTGGAAATTCAGAGCCCCACTTTCTATTTTGTTCTCATAAAGAAATATAGTGCTTTGGGCTGTTAGTGCTTCCTTAATTTACCTTTCTGAACAGTGTTATCTGTTGTACATAAACACAGTCAATGCATTCAGAGTAATCTACTTGTTTTTCAGATGGAGTTAGATGTAAAATCTTTAATAGTGAAATATTTCTTGCAGAGGATATACCATCCAGACTATAACAATGAACTGACTCAGTTTCTGCCCCGAATCGTCACACTGAAGAAACCTCCTGGAGCTCAGGTGTGTTTGTGGAAAAATTGTCTTTCTTTTTGGGGCCCACACCTGGTAGTACTGCGGACTACTCCTGGCTTGGTGCTCTAGTGTTGCTGCTTCTCGTGGTGGTGGGGATTGAACCCAGGGTTCTCACATGAAAAGTATACACATGAGTCCTTTCATCCATCTTTTTGGCACCAGTTGTGTATTATTATAAGCTATATATATATATATTGTTGTTGGTGTTATTAATGTTGTTGTGTATTTATATTTGCACACCAAGCCATAAGTTGACCATAGTTGGTTGGGGAGATGAATTGGGAAGCAATTAGGATAGGAAGGAAACTATTCTCTTTTTTTTGGCTTTTTGGGTCACACTTGGTGATGCAGAGGGATTACTCCTGGCTCTGCACTCAGGAATTACTCCTGGCGATGCTCAGGGGACCATATGGGATGCTGGGAATCAAACACGGGTCGGCCATGTGCAAGGCAAACACTCTACCCGCTGTGCTATCGCTCCAGCCCCGAAACTTTTCATTTTATAGGCATAAAAACTGAAATGCTTCTTGCACAATTGCTAATTTCTCTTTGAGGAATATATAAGCTAATCTATCATACAGTGATGCTGCTAGATACTAGGTATTCTTGTGTTTCTTCTCTGTACTGAGACACCTTTCGATGTTCTTGTCTTATAGTTGGGATTTAACATACGAGGAGGAAAGGCCTCTCAGCTTGGCATCTTCATCTCCAAGGTGTGTGTACATCATAGGTAAAATGGATAGCTGCTTCCTTTTGTTGTTATTGAGTTGCTGGACTCCTATATCATAAGGCCTAGGAGAAGGATGTTTCCTTAGACTCTCAGTAAAGCATAATGGGCACCCTTTACTGTATAAAGCTTTCCACCTGGCAAGCCATTTATCTCTTCATGCACTTGCATTCTCTCTCCCCCTCCTCCCTCCCTCCCTCATCCCCCCCCCCACATACCCTTTACATTTGAATAGCACTTTGCTGTCTTAGAAATGATCCCTCATCAGTTATATATATTCTTTCCCTACCAATAGGTGATTCCTGACTCTGATGCACATCGAGCAGGACTTCAAGAAGGGGACCAAGTTCTAGCTGTGAATGATGTGGATTTCCAAGATATTGAGCACAGCAAGGTGAGCACAGCGCTTGGACTATGGTGAAGGAAGTAGCAATCCCAGGTGAAACAGATTGGGCAGGATTAGCTTTATCTCTAACTTGATAATGACTCTTTCCTGAGGAAGTGAATTAGAAGGAAGCTGCTATTAGTAGCCTAGAAGGCTGCAGTGACAAACTACTTTCCATTATTATAATTTTTCCTGGATCATATCTCTTCATTTGTACAGGCTGCTATGTTTTTTACAGGCTGTTGATATCCTGAAGACAGCCCGTGAAATCAGCATGCGTGTTCGCTTCTTTCCCTACAGTAAGTATATTATTATTATTTATTACTTACCTGGATGGAACCCTAGGTAGGAAGACTTCAAATACTGATTGGTAGACACCTCACAAGTTGAGAATGGGGTATTTGGAACTCAGGCTTGAAAATAACATGCTTTCTTTCCCTTTCCTTTTCTTCTCCCCTCCAGATTATCATCGCCAAAAAGAAAGGACTGTGCACTAGCATTGCAACCTTCAGCCTTCCACATGGAATCTTCTAGAGCAAGCTAGCTTGACCCTGGGGAACCCACTCAGGAAACTACTCTCAGCTTCTCTCTGACATAGCTGAGTGCGGAGGTTGGGGGACAGTGAAGCCCTATACTGAGATAACTAAATAATTTCATTATCTTAACTATACTGCACTTTTTATTCCCTAGTTTCATTTCATTGGGGGGAACCATACCTGGCCATGTTTAGGGGATATATCTGATTCTTTGCTACCTTTATGTGGTCCTAGGGATCAATCAACTCAGGGTCAGCCAGAGTGGCCATTTGCAAGACAAGTGCCTTAACTCCTGTACTCTTTTGCAGCCTCCCCCCATTCTGGTTTGCTTGCTTTTGTTGTGGGGGGGCCACACCCAGCTGTGCATAGGTCTTACTTCTGGCTCTCTGCTCAGGAACCACTCTGGTTGAGGCTTGGGGAACCATGGGGAGTGCCAGGAATTGAACCTCGGTTGGCTGGGTGCAAGGCACGCACCCTACCTACTGTACTAGTCTCTATGACTCCCCTCCTGGATTTCTAGGTGAGCTTAATTTTTGCAAGAGGAAGTAGAAAGATGATGATTTGTAAGTATAGCCCAGCCTGTGAAGAACTCTACTAGAAAAGGCAACTGACACTTACCATGTCCTAGGCAATTACACAGATATCTCTGTTTTTGATAGAATATAGAAATCAGATTTTTAAAAAGTTTTGGGACCTGCCATCAAATCTGCCTAGTCATCTTTTTTTCTTTATTTCTTTTGGGCTTTGGGGGCCATTCCTAACTGTGCTCAGGGCTTACTCCTGGCTCTGAACTCAGGGATCACTCCTGGTGGAGCTCAGGAGACCATAAATGGTGCCAGGAATCAAACCTGGGTTGGTTGCATGCAAAGTAGATGCCTTACCCACTGTACTGTTTTTTCATCCCATGCTTCGTCATCTTTTCCCATCTTTATACTATTAGTCTTACACGCTTGGGAGAACCTGTGGGACCCTATTCCCCCTCCCCTTGCTCCTATTCTTCCAAAAGTAAAACCCAATGCTGAGAAAACATTGTGACTTTTGCATGACATTGATTGGGTGTAAAATGGCTATTGAGACAAAAATAAATGGTCTCATTAATAATTCCATCCTGGTCCAAAGAGGCTATTCCTCATCAAACTGGAAGGAACACAGCAGCTCAAAGAAAGGAGCCACTGAAAGTAACAGAAACACCAGATCTTCATAGCTATATCTGCTCAGAGCAATGCTGAAGCTAAGAAACCATAGCCACAGTATAATGGGAGAATGGCAATAGGAGAGGTATATTAGAGGAAGTAGGGCCTACCACCCTGAGTATTGAACATTTTCATGAAAGGGGCAGTATTGTAGTTCTGTCTTTTCTTTTATAGATTATTTGATCTGGAATAAAAACTGTAAAGGTGAGACTAAGATGCATTTCTTTTGAGGGGCAGCAGTAAGAAATAGTAGTTCCGAACTTAAAAATTGTAGGAATTATACGTTGAATAGTACTGACTTCCAGCTTCATCATCTCTCTCCACTTCCAGATAACTTGCCATGTTTTAATTCCTTAGTTTCTAATCCATTGTCTGAGGATCCAGGCAAAGACATTCCATTTCTATTAGCATGTTCAAATTTCCCATTCAAATTTGAAGATTTCGTTTTCTTTTTGGTTTTTGGACTACCTGGCTGTGCTCAGGACACTCCTGGCTTTGTACTCAGATATCACTCTTGACGAGGCTTGGGGAACCATGTGCGGTCCCAAGGATTAAACCAGGGTCGACTGCATCCAAGGCAAGTGTCCTGTCCGCTGTAGTAACACTCCAGCCCCAAGATTTGAAGTTTTCTGAGATATAGGGTAAATGCACTCATAATTGAAATCCTGAGTTTGCCTTGAAACAATTCTGGAAAGGTGCATTCTGTCTTGGAGATTTATGCTTTTCAACCTGAGATGTGAACTCTCATCTCCCCTTTAATGAAGCCTGTGTTTTCTCTTGAACATTTCTCTCTCTCCATATTTCTCTAAATAAAACTATTTTCATTTAAAAATGAAAGAATTCTTGAAAGCTTAAATATATTTCCAAGCTCTTCACCTGGAGAGTTGTTTTATTTGCCTGAGGTCTCTGGACTTCTGAATTTTCGAGTAAGGCAAATGACTCCAAATACAGAAAACCTAGTTCTCTGTTGTAGTAATACATTTCAACGAGGAAATTCTGGTTCTCTCTGGTTCTCCTTAGGTACCTTTTCTAGAGGCTCGGTGACATTGTTAGTTACCACTGTCTCTTGTGAGCAGAGCTAAAAGTAGAATTAATTTAGCTATTTCTTGTTTTGGGGGGTTTGGGGCACATCCAGTGGTGCTCAGGTCTTACTCTTGACTCTGTTCAGGTATCATTTCTGATGGGGGTCAGATGACCATCTGTGTTTCCAAAATTGAACCTGGATCACCTGCACAAAAGGCAAACACTCTACCCGCTGTACTATCAGTCTGACCTATAATATAGCTAGTTTTAATGCTTCCTGGAAAATGTTTCATTTCTATACTACTCTTTGCTGCCCCCTGTGACTATTGGAAGAAGAAACTGGAGGCTTCTTCAAGTGTACTTCCAAAGTGAATTAGATCATGTTTTCTTAGTCTTCTGGATGTTGAGGTAACATTCCCTGTGTTGAGCAGGTTTTAAAAGAACTCATTTAAGTTTATGAAAAATATTGTATAAAAAAGTCCTTGTGAGGACATAAGGTGTGATACAAACTTAAGAACGCAACTAAATTGAATCTCATTTTTGAGACACTCATTTTTGAGACACTTATTGGGGCACCAGCATGATGCAATTGCATTGTGAAAGTTTAAGTATAGTATGAAAACATAACAAAATAGATTGAGGTAAAATAGTCGTTTATTGAGGTTGTAGATAAGAAAGCAGTAAAGGATGAATTGCTAAGTCTTTGGGTGTCTTGGCTCTGGGAGAGTTATCCCCTAAAGGTGTCTCTAGCAGTCAGACATGATAAGGTAGAATTTCTGGGCTACACAAGATCTTTCCACCCAGTATCTTATTGTGAGATGCAATAAGAAAAAAATTATGCTAGCAGTTTGGGGTGTGGGTGGAGGTGGTAGTTATTCCTAAATTCAGGAATTGGAAGAGTTTAATAAGTAGCCAAGTGAGTAAACTCTAAGTTTGATGATTAGGAAGAAAGACTAATAGAAGCACAAATGGTGTTGTTTGTTTGGTTTGTTTTTTTTTTTCCTGTGGATAGCTGTGTGATAGCAGAGGGGGTAGGGCGTTTCCCTTGCATGTAGCCAGTTGGCCGACCCGAGTTCGATTCCTCCGCCCCTCTTGGAGAGCCTGGCAAGCTACCGAAAGTATCTTGCCCGCTTGGCAAAGCCTGGCAAGCTACGCGTGATGTATTTGATATGCCAAACACAGTAACAACAAAGTCTCACACTGGAGATGTTACTGGGCCTGCTCGAGAAAATCGATGAACAACGGGAGGACAGTGACAGGGTGAAAATTTCATGTTGCCATTCTGCAAAACTGCTAACATTCACTGTCTGGGTTTTTTGTGTGATTTTTTTTGTTGTTGTTTTGAATTTTTGATTGAATATCTGTAAGATAGACCATTACAAAGCTGTTCACGATTGGGTTTCTATCATACAATTATCAACATCCATCCCTCCACCAGTGTACATTTCCCACCACCAGTGTCCCCCATTTCCCTCCCACCATCCCCCAAAACCCCACCCCCAATCTGCCTCTATGGCAGGCACTTTTTTCTTTCTCTCCTTTTGAGAAACATAAATGGTTAATCAAATTAGTAGAGACTATTTTTGCAATCATCAGGAGTAGTGACTTTATGCCTGACACTGGTGGGCCCCAGTTGAATATCTCACACTGGAAGTGTTAAGGGAAAGATGACTAGAGTTAAATTTTAACTCCAAGGGAAACTTCCAGGCTATAAAAAAGGATAATTATCATCTTAGGATACTTTTCACTTAAAGTAAGTACATTGGGCCAAAGTTAGTTCCTTTCTTCTCTTTTAATCAATCAAACAGGGCTGGAGCGATAGCACAGCGGTAGGGCGTTTGCTTTGCACGCAGCCAACATGGCCGACCCGAGCTCGATTCCTCCGCCCCACTCGGAGAGCCCGGCAAGCTACCGAGAGTATCTCGCCCGCATGGCAGAGCCTGGGAAGCTCCCCGTGACGTATTCGATATGCCAAACACAGTAACAACAAAGTCTCCAATGGAGACATTACTGGGCCTGCTCGAGCAAATCGATGATCAACGGGAGGGCCTTTACTTTACTAATCAATCAAACAGATTCACCTGGCCATTGAATAAGCAAAGGAAGTTTGCCTTTACATGTGCACTCCCTATCCCAGCAAAGATGGGGAGGAAGATCCTTTTCCTTATGTAGAGCTGAAATTTTTTGGGAGAAATGACAAGCCACAAATGTATTAGTTGTAAATTTAGGTGGTAATGTAGAAAAGAAAAAGTATTGCCAGCTTACTAAATCTTCATATTACATGAAGGGGAAATCAACCATACGCCCTTTCCATTAATAAGGTAAAGCACCGTTGTTTTGGGAATCATACCCAGTGTTCCTTGGGGACTACTCTTGAGGAGTTTCTTCTCATGTGTTCTTGGAGACCATGTGGGTCTCCTGAATTTGCACCAGCTTGTTAGTGGCAAGTAGGTAGAGATAAGAGTACAATGTAGGGTCAGAGAGACAGTACAGCAGATGGGGACAAAGCTGAACCAGGTTTAATCCCTGGTGACACTTTATAGTTCGTCAAACCCAGTCAGTAGTGATCCCAGAGCACTGGTGTGTGTGACCCCTAAAAGAAAAAAAGTTCAGTTTAGAATTGGAGAGATAGTACAGGTGTTAAGGCTCTTGCCTTGCATGCAGATGACCCCAGTTCTATCTCTAGCACTGATGTGGTCCCCTGAGTACCACCAGGAATAATCCTTGAGTACAGCCAGGTGTGTCCCAAAAACAACAGTATTGAGGGAAGCAATAGTTGTTACATAAGAAGAAATGGATTTTGCATTTTTTTTTTTTGCTAAATGATTTTGGCATTGGTTTCAGTACGCATTCTGTTGAGTTCTCTGGATTGTCTTTCACCCTCTTGCAGAGAATTATCCAGGTAAAGTGAGAAGCAATGTAAGGGACCACATAGTGGTAAGACTTCTGTCCCAGAGTTCATGAAACTTTCTGAGGTGTCAAGATGCCTAGGAACTCTTTAATCCATGACTTTTCTAATCTTTCACATGCGTAATCCTCTCAAGTAAATAGCACAGTCTATCAGAGATTGAACTGTAGATATTCCAGGAGTTCTATATTTTGTTGTTCGGATTCTTTTTGTGACCCACCAACATGACATGGTTGAACATGTCTGCCTCCATCTGCTTGAACATCTATCCACATGTTGGTCTCCTTGAAAGAATTGAAGTTTCCAAGAGGAATGTGATAAGAGTTGAAATATTTAATAGAGACTTAGATAATAACATACTTGTCTCTCCTCTCATAGACTTAACAACTTGTTTCCCTCAATCCCTTTTATAAATAAAACATGATCTAGCCCCAATTTATGATATAAACAGCCACTATCATAGGAATTAATTTAAAAAACCCTCCTGGATAATTGTGACACATAACTGTAGGTGAACCGGAATAAAATATTTAGAGAAAAGGTGATAATATATAAAAATGAAACTAGCCTTTCAAATGTTAGTAGTCAGAAGAGTCAAAATCGAGTCTAAAAATTTGGTTTCTAAAAAGTGGTGACAAAATAATTGACTTCCCATTCTAAGACAGGTCCAATACCAGTTTGATTAAGGAAGACCTCATAAAGCAAATAACTTAAGGATTCAGTACCTCCTGGACTTTGTGTTAAAGTTAGTTTAATTGAGGACAGAAAATATACAGCAAACTTCCCAGGGTTTGGTCATTTGGGGAAGTTTTTCTTTCTCATCATTATCTGCAGATGATTTTCAGTGGTGCAACCCTACTGTGATGAATCGACCAAGAGAGTGGAGGTAGAGGAGAACACTCATTATTTGGTCTTCCAAATAGGTGATCTGAGACAATTAATTCCAGTAGTTGGCTGAAGATAAAATTTGTGCTATTATACTACACCAGTACTAGATAGTCTTAGAACCAAAAGAGCTCGGGAGCGGCCATTTAGAGTGCTGTTCTGGTTCAGTTTCCAAACATTTAACAGCAGATTATTTTGAGCAGAATTCCCAGGTGAGTTGGACAAGGAATGAAGCAAATATGTACCATGTGACCCTCTGGTGATGAGCTTACCTGGCAGATGTGGAAGATGTCATACATGAAGCTGGTAATGATCCATATCTTCTCTGCTATGAAGTAGATTAGTGATAGCTATATGTCCCTTTTATAACAGTCTGTGAATTCTTTCCCTCATACACACTCCCAAACTTCCCCATCAAGGAGATTGATT